AACCGCAAAGGAGTGTAACAACCGAACCGGTTTACCGCACATCTCGGACACGTCTATGGCAATGCCAGTTGAATTCCATCTCGTGGCGCGGCAGTTGTAAAGGGGTGAACGTTTTAATCGCGGTGCGTTCGCTACTAAACTTCCACGAACATCGGTTACCAGCTCCCGGCTTTAGGAACAGGTCATGTATTCTGAAATCGGTTATTGGTTACCGGTTACCGTTGATCAACCCGAGTCACAAATCACCACGCGGGCACGATCCACTCCCGCACAACGCACACTTCTCTCCATCTCATGTCTCTCTCTCTCTCCTATCTTCTGCGCTCTCCTTTGTATGCATCTCTCCATCTCTCCCACGACACTACGGCTCTCTACAGACACACAGACACAAACTCACTCACGTACACACACACACGCGTACACACTCACGCGCTCGTAAATTCACTCTCCGTGTGTGTGTGTCGAGGTGGGGGGGGGGGCACACAGTGAAGTTTTTTTGGGGAGGGCGACCACGAATCCATTCAGCCTCTCGGGAGAACTGATCTGGTGGTAGCCGCGGTGGCGAGAAGATATCATCTCCCTCGCCTGGTGCGCGGAAGATTCGTCGGTTCGATCCCGACCCTGACGATGCCTGTTGTATATTTTGGAGTCCGGGTGTGGTGGTCGCGTGGATTTTTCTGCTAGTTCCTCCGGCTTTACCCCCCCCCCCCACCTACTCTTCCGCACTACATTAACAAACACGCGTTCAGATTATTGTGCTGCTTCTACAAATGCCCAACGTATGATGATGCTATCAGCCACTTCGATGTGTGAACAGGTCGCCTCTGATAAGGAGCTCATAGCTCAGTGGGCTTTACTTGGAAAATAAAATCAAAAGAGCACTGGACGCATCACGATCTCATTCATAAGCCAGCATCATCGCCGCTAAGCATCAACGCCGCTAAGCATCAACGCCGCGCTCCAACTGCGAGTTACACGCGCGCGCGCGCGATTCGCCTGCGACTGAAAAAATAAATAATGAACTCAAGCCGACAACTCCTCTCGTCGCTTTGAACCTGGAGTCGAACCCGACCCCTCCCCTGTAAGCAGCGCTTCAAATGCGACTCGCGGCTTCCTCACCACGACCGCTTCTTTAGAGTGTCACCAAAGTCACCAAAGTGACACTCTAAAAAAAAAAATCTTTCTTTTTTATTTTTGCCCACTGAGCTCTACAGCTCTCTTTCAGAAGCGACCTCGGGCTATCACACATGATCGCTCGACGACCGTGGCATCTAATCGTCGATGTGCGAATGTATAGCGGGACGAATACTTTAAACGCGTGATGTTGATAATTATGAATGTGGAGGGGGGGGGGCGGGAGGGAAAACCGGAGGACCCGGAGAAAAATCCACGCGGACACGGGCAGAAAAACACCGCAAACTCCCAAATACACAGCAGGCATTATAGGGTCTGGAGTCGAACCCACGCTCTCCTCCTGCATACCGGGAGAGGGAGTTAACAAGTCGCCACGCGCGGCACCGGATGTTCTCGCTACGACAACCATCCCCATGATGCAACGTGCAAGCAACTTAGCCAATGTTACGATTAATATGAACTAGTTAATTTAGTTGCAATATTGTTTTGAATATTGAAGGGATGTGTTTGGTCATCCACAGCTACTATTTGGTAACTGTTTAGATGCCAATTAAACCAAGAAACTGCGAATCAGTAAACACTTGTTTGAATGTAATTCTCATCACCAGGCTCCCCGGCGTAGACGAGTGCAGTCTCCCAACTCGTAGTAGCCACGACGTCTCTCTGCTCCCCACTCTTTGCGGTGAGTGGGGGGCCAGAGGAGACCACTGGCCGAAACGTCGCCCACGAAATGTGCTTCATTTTAAGGCCATCGTGTTAATGGCACGGGAAATGTTCAATTGTTGTTATCTGTGCGTGTGCACCACTGCAAAAAAACGCAGCTGCAGCATCACCAAATAATTTGTTTCATACGTACCAGGGGTTTTGGGGGGTTGTGGAAATAGGGGGGCGGGGGCGATCGTCGGTATGAGAGAGAGGAAGAATTCACGGTTGCCAACACGGCGAGGCGAGCGGGCGACGAGGCGAGGCGAGCGGTCAGGGTCTCGCGCGCGTCTCTCCCACCGTGGCCTCGGAGCCACGTGGAGACGAAACGGGTGGGTGTTCACAAATACGCGTCATCCCGAGGCCGCACGCAATGCGGGGAACGAACCGTTGCGTGCAGGGGTCACACTCGCTCACTCCCACCGGGTCGTTACACTCGCAAAGGCCCCCGCGACGACGCTCAGAGACAAGCCACGAACAAAATAAAAAAAGTACAAAAATTAACCGTAAACGCGAGTGGCTGCGTTGCAAGACGGCTCGAGTCTGGAGCGAGCGGTGGAGAGAGTTGGTGAAAGTGTAAATCAATGAAAGTGTCGATTAATTAACGCGAGCCAGGGGAGAGGCGCGTCTTCCCTCGGCCGACCGCACATTTACATTCGCCAACGCCGCCTTCTCGCACTCACGCACCACCACCACCATCATCACCACCATCATCACCATCATCACCATTATCATCCATGAGCTGCTCGCGATAACGCTCCCGCGTATAAGCCACCCGCCTACAACAAAAACAGACAAAGCTGCTCCCCGTTCCGGCTTCAACAGACCGTTGGGGCAAGTGCTGTTGGCGAGTACCACCTATGAAAGACCGGCACACGAAGGGGTGGGTGGCGAACACCACGCACGGCCGTCCGCCTTTGTCTCCCCAGCGCTGATGTTTACACGCAGCACCGGGTCATCTTGGAAGGCCGAATCACGACACGACCGTGCGCTACTGGGCTCCCCACAATCACACCCTCACAGACTCGCACCCTCATTCGCCCGCCTCCTCTGCACACTTTCACATGCTCACCCTGTCACACACTCACAACTTCAAAGACAAAGACCCTCCCCCCTCCCCCAGTATAGACTGTTGGGGCAAGTGCTGTTAGCGAGCACCTATGAAGGCCGGCACGGCACACGAGGGGGTGGATGGCCAACACCACGCCCGGCCGACCTGGTCTCCCTAGTGACAATGTTTACACACCGCACCAGGTACTAATTTCAGGCTGAGTCGACCTAGGGGAGGGCCAGGACTAGTTCTAATAATCGTCACTGGTGTTGGTCGTGAACGGGAATCGAACCCGTGTAGTCGGGTTCATAGCGCAGCGTAGCGCTAACCACTACACTACCGCTTCCCACTCCCATACATTCACAAACACGCTCACTCACCTACACCAACACTCACTCACCTCCACCCACACACACTCACCTACACCTCCACCCACACACACTCACCTACACCTACACCTCCACCCACACACACTCACCTCTCATACACTTAATCAGACACTCACCAACCCCGACGCTTCACACACACGCTCACCCACACACTTACCGACACCCCCCCCCCGCGCACACACTCACCCCAGACACACACACACACACACCCCACACACACACACTCACCCGCACACACACATTCACCCGCACACACACACACACCTCACACACACACCACCCCCCCCACACACACACACACCCGCACACACACCCGCATACACACACCCTCACCCCACACACTCACCCGCACACACTCACCCGCACACCCTCACCCGGACACACACACTCACACACTCACCCCACACACTCACCCCACACACACTCACACACTCACCCTACACACACACTCACCCTACACACACTAACCCCCCACACACACTAACCCCACACACACACTCACCTCACACACACACTGACCCGCACACACACTCACCGCACACACACACTCACCCGCACACACTCACCCGGACACACACACTCACACACTCACCCCACACACTCACCCCACACACACTCACACACTCACCCTACACACACACTCACCCTACACACACTAACCCCCCACACACACTAACCCCACACACACACTCACCTCACACACACACTGACCCGCACACACACTCACCGCACACACACACTCACCCGCACACACACACTTAACACACCCCAGAGACACACACACCCCACACACACTCACTCACCCCACACACACACCCGCACTACACACACCCCACACACACACACTCACCCGCACCACACACACACACCCCACACACACACTCACTCCACACACACACTCACCCCACACACACTCACACTCACCCCCACACACACTGACCCCACACACACTCACGCCACACACACACTCACCCCATACTCACCAGCACACACTCACCCACACACACTCACCCACACACACTCACCCCACACACTCACCCACACACACTCACCCCACACACACTCACCCCCACACACACTGACCCCACACACACTCACGCCACACACACACTCACCCCATACTCACCAGCACACACTCACCCACACACACTCACCCACACACACTCACCCCACACACACTCACCCACACGCACTCACCCACACACACACTCACCCCCACACACACTGACCCCACACACACTCACGCCACACACACACTCACCCCACACTCACCAGCACACACTCACCACACACACTCACCCACACACACTCACCCCACACACACTCACCCACACGCACTCACCCACACACACACTCACCCCCACACACACTGACCCCACACACACTCACGCCACACACACACTCACCCCACACTCACCAGCACACACTCACCCACACACACTCACCCCACACACACTCACCCCCCACACACTCACCCTGCTCAGAAACCCACCTCCCCCAAAACCCCCATGTGCCCCCCGCGGACGGTAGGCGGCGGGGGGGGTACGAGGAGGGGGGGGGGTTTGGGGTGCACGGGTGGGGGGGGGTGTACGAGGGAGCAGGGAAGTGTTCCGGGGGGGTGGGGGTGCGTGGAAGAAGAGGAGGTGGGGTGGTGGGGGGGGTGGGGGTGCGTGGAAGAAGAAGGGGGGGGTGGGGGTGGTGGGGGGTGGGGTGGGGGTCTCTACCTTTTTGTCGCGAGCGGCGCCTCCTCCTACGCTTCAGCTTGCGTCGCGCGCCCGGCGCCTGCAGCGCGGCAGCGCCGGGGGGGGCGACGCCACTGCCCGAGAACTCGGGGCCAGGAGGGACCACGCCGGGGGGCTGCTGCTGATGCTGATGCTGCTGCTGATGATGATGATGCTGCTGCTGTTGTAGCGTTGTGGGGATCTGCTGCTGATGATGATGATGCTGCTGCTGTTGTAGCGTTGTGGGGATCTGCTGCTGATGATGATGATGCTGTTGTAGCGTTGTGGGGATCTGCTGCTGCTGCTGCTGAGCTGAAGACGCCGCGGGTGACGGTCGTGGCAGCGGCGGCGGCATCGTTTCCCGGGGTGGGTGGGTGGGGGGGGCACCGGAGGAGAGGGAGTAAGAGGGGTGGGGGGAGAGTTGACGAGGGAGACGAGGAGGAGGAGGAGGGAGACAACGATGCAGAGTCCGGCTCAACTCGCCACCCGCTGCCCTCGGGCTCTGACAGGGGGAGGTCGCGGCCGCCTGTGTCCGCCTCGGTTTCTGCGGCGCCCTTCTCAATGCCACTAGGGGTGGGGGGGGTGGTGGGATGGGGGTGCCTCCCTCGCTTCGTCTGCAACGTTCACAGCGGGTGACCCGGGGAACTTGCGACGCCGGCCACAGACTCCGCGCAGTGCAGTCGGCCCCGCGCGGAACAGCGCGCTTCGCGCTCTCTCTCTCGCTCTCTCTCTCTCTGCCTGTGTGTTCTTTCTGCTCTCTCGCTCGCTCTTCCCCTCTCTCCGTCGCCCTCTCGGCGCGCTCCCCCCTCTCTCTCTGCGAGTGGAGTCGCGGCTCCGCGGAGCTTTATCCCTGGCAGGGGCGGAGCCACAGTTCGCTCCGAGCCAACTCGCGTCCAATGAGCGCACGGGCACATGGCTCGATGATGTCACCCCCCCCCCCCCCCCACTTGCTTACCCTGCAAAGTCCCCGCTGTACCGTACATGCCCCCTGTACCGACGTGCCCACAATACTCCACACCCATCATAGCCACCGTACCCCGAATCCTAACCCCCCCAACGATACCGCCGTTACCCTAGCCTACGCTCTACGCACTCACCAAACTCAACTACCCCCCATAGCACCCGTACTCTGCACGTACTCTCCCCTCGATCTTCTTACCCACAACATTCACCCTTTGCCCTTACTCACCTTACCCATCCCCTGCCCCTATCCATCCAACCCCCCCCCCCCCCCGGCTTCCCATGTGACCAGCGGGACTATAACAGCACCCACCCACCCCCTACCGCGTAACCCTCCCAGTCACCATCAAGCATTACCCCCCCACATCCTCCGTGCCCCCGCCCCTCCCATGCCCCCCCCCCTCCCCGCCCCGCCCTCCAGTCACGCACTCGGGCACACAAAGCGCTGATTAAGTGCAAATGACAGTGGCAACATCGTGGTCTACAATTCATTTTTTTGTTCGAGTAAGTGTCGTTTATTCCATTAAAATGGGTATGGAAAATCAATAGGACAGATCAAAATGTATTCGCCCTTCCACAAACGCCCTATCCCATTGGCGAGCACGGGATAGATGTGCACAGTGCACCGAGTTCACGCGTCGAGGACGCAGCAAACGAGTTCACAGTCCAAGCGCGCCGCACGTGACGGTTCCAATCATGACGCTGTTGTCGATGAACGCGTGGCATCACGTGAGGCCCAGTCGTTGCGCTTACAGAAAAGAAAAGAAAAAACCCGATTTGCTTCGACAACAACCAAAAATAAAACGTGGAATACTCAACCCAATTTGGTATCGATTTAAAGCTTTCGTGACTGCAGGGATTCATCTTCTTGGTTCTTTCGGTAAAGTAACGTAGATGGGAAATAATAAAATAATAATAAAACATAATAAAATATAATTCTCACGACGTTTCGGCCACAACGCAAGCAGCCGTTCAGACGCTGTCTTTCCGAGAGACCTGTTCTTCACCTGAGGACGGCTGCTTGCGTTGTGGCCGAAACGTCGTGAGAATTATTTTATTATGTTTTATTTTTTATTATTTTATTATTTTCCTTCTACGTGACTTTACCGAAAGAAGCAAGAAGATCAATTTGGTATCGTCGCATCTCGCACTGGTTGCCTACGTATGGCGCAAAAGAAGCTCAACGTATAAGCGGCGTTGCTTCTCCTCCTGCTTCGTGATGGAAATCCGAGGAGTAATCTTTGGGTCCCTTGGGGAATCTCGAAATAACGGGGAGGGGAGGGGGGGGCACTGCCAGTGGACAACACGGGCAGAACGCAGTCATTAGAAGGAACAATGGGCGAGACTAAGTACAGGGCTACAGTCAAAGGAGGAGATCGCGCACGAGAGGACGTCCACCGGGGAAACTGGAGGAATCCGATGAGCTATGAAGCTCTTTTACACAGACGTCCAGCAGAGCCAGATGGGTCGTAGCATCACGGCACTCAGAGACGGTAACGGCTTTGGGAGGCTGCATCGATCCGGCAGTGGGTAAGACTATGGCAAATACGAGGACGGTGCCGCCGAACGCGACATTTTTGACTTTTGATATATCCGTTAGATCATGTGAAAATGTGCGATGACGCTTGATTCGCTCCCTACTCTCACCGCCGTAGCCACACTCGCTGCATCTCAGCTCGTCTCCCATGGCTGCCTGCAGTGCAATTAACGCTGTGACGCCCATTCAGGTGGCTCGCCACGCACGGCGCGATCCGTGGAGAGAGAGAGAGTAACATTTGTTCACAGGGAGCTCCAGGCTTTATCTCTACAACTTTATTTTATTCACATTCTGTCTTGGGATTTCTTTTCACCAATAGTGTCTTGCTTTATACACATTTGTGATCAGTTGTTTGTTGATTTAGACTTGTTTTTTGCTTCTTCCTGTTCTTTTCTGGGTTGTTTTCACTGCTCAGGGAGCGGCTGCGCTCTCTCTGCAAGTGTATCGTGCTGTGTGTGTGTTCACGTTATTTTCTTTTTGTTGTTTTCTTTTTATACATTTTTTTGTTGCTTCTTTTTATACATTTTCTGTGTTCTACTCTTGTAAAATACTTACGACTGTAACATTTTTTCCCTTCTCTCCAGGGGAGCTTTGGGTGAATAGCAGTAATATCATTAAGAGAAGGTGGTCAGTAACAGAGGATAGACCATCTTTATATCATTATTTTATTTATTTTTGCTTAAAACATTTCCTGGCCCTTGAAAAATAGAGGCTTGCTTTAGTAGTCATGTGTGACATATCCCACACGCGTGAAAATATCCACCTGACCCATAGCAACCTATGGGAAAGCTACCGCGCCTACGCAAGGCCAGTTTCCGGGGCCTGCAAGGCGCCCGTAGCAGCAGCAGCAGCTGGGGCCTTCACGCGAGGCTGGAATCCGCTGCCCGGCTTCCACCGATGTCCCGATCGACGTCTATGTGGAAGCGCTGGCCGCCATCGTGCCTGCAGGCTCAATGAAGTTCGCCTCCAAGATGAGCGGAAAGGTGATTTTGTTCATGGAGTCTGAAAAGATGGCTAACGTCGCCATGGAGAAGGGGCTGACTGTTAACGATTGGCACCTCACCTTGGAGCTACTGAGACCACCATCAGTATGAGTAGTCGTATCCAACGTCCCCCTCTACATTCCTGATCATGAAATACAAGACAACCTGGCTAAGTTGGGCACGCTGACCTCCAACCTACATCATTTGCCTTTGGGCTGCAAAAATCCCGCCTTGAGGCATGTCTTGCCTTTTAGAAGGCAGGGGGTCTACATGCTGGTGCCCAATGGGCAGCTTGAGGAGGGCTCCTTTACGGTCATAAACGGAGGAAGGGCCCATCGGCTGTTTTACTGAAGAGACGTTACTAAAATGCAACCTATGAAAAGCAGAAGGGCATGTTAAAAAACACTGCCCGGACCCAGCAAATGCCCAATCCAACAGCGAGGGGAATGTGGAAAAGGGTGATAAAGAAACACACCCAACGGATGACTCGGGAGAGAGCCCCTCACCACGGAGCACACGCGAGATGGCAGTAGACCCCGTTCCAACTCCGAGCCTCTGAAGAGAGAATGTATGGAGGATTCAGCTTCATTATCTCCAGTCAAGTGGGGATGAGGTCGGTCCTTTTAAAGATCTCCCAGAGTTGGAGTCGGGCATCGCACCCACACCTGGCGGAGAAACAGAGAGCACTGGTGGCAAAGACGGGGTTTTCGCCATCCCAAATGCCCCCCCCCCCCCCCAGGCAAGAAACCCCGTGCAGGAACCAACACCAAGCGCAGCTCATCTGCAGAAAATATTGAGCTCGAAATACAAGCGGAGGAAAACGCAATCTATGAAGTGGCAAAGAAAATACGTGAAGAGAGCCGCACTTCAGACCTCGACGATGCACCCAGTTAGGCGGTCAAGGGCTCCCAAGCAGCCGAGAGCACAGAGGAGCCCAAACAGGACACAATTTACCAGAGGTGTGGACTCGAGTCATGTGACTTGGACTCGAGTCAGACTCGAGTCATGAATTTGATGACTTCAGACTCGACTTGGACTTGCATAACAATGACTTTGTCCCACCTCTGAGGTGTGGACTCGAGTCATGTGACTTGGACTCGAGTCAGACTCGAGTCATGAATTTGATGACTTCAGACTCGACTTGGACTTGCATAACAATGACTTTGTCCCACCTCTGAGGTGTGGACTCGAGTCATGTGACTTGGACTCGAGTCAGACTCGAGTCATGAATTTGATGACTTCAGACTCGACTTGGACTTGCATAACAATGACTTTGTCCCACCTCTGCAATTTACCAAACCGCGGTCGGTGACCATGAAGAGGACAATGGAGGGCTGTCTATGGAGGGGCAAGCGGCATCACCCAATAAAGCACCGACAAGAGGATACCACGACGACTGAGAATCCCCAAAGCCTCGAAGCTGAGGAGGAAAGCCAAGAAGAGGAGATGGAAGAAACTCTCAGCACAGCAAGCGGGGTGAGCCCAATATCTGCTGAGCTGACTGAAGTGGCACTCATATTTTCACAGTCGGAGCTGTGGAACTTTTTAGATGAAGTGCATGACTCGGAAGAAAGCGTGACTGCAGCTCTATCAATTTGGAAAAATTCGGAGGCAATTATAGCTTCCCTACACCATGTTGAGCAGGGCTTCAAGAGACAGGGGAAGTCATCATCTGGAAAGGAAAGAAAAAGGAGCAGGTACTTCCTGACCCAAATAACTACGTGGAAAGATAACATACCTGGCAACAACTCCACTGACACATAATGCTGCGGATAGCCGCAATTAATATCAATGGGTGTAGAGGTGC